GGGGGGCAGGCTAGAGAAACAAACCTTGTTAAAAAAAAAGAAAAAGAGATATTTGTGTTTTACTTTAAGGAGGGTTTAAAGCCCCCAGGGCACCAGTTAGAAAGATAAAAAGGCGGGCTGCTTTGCCCCACTAAAGCGGGGAGCTGAGAAGGTTACAACTTTCCAACACAGACCTCGGAGATACTTGATAAAAAAATAAAAAATTCCTATAGGCCTTTCTGGCACGGAAACTGAACTCACCTCTTCTGCGTGCGAGGGCAAAGCTCCTAAGTGCAGCCAATAGCAACTGTTAGTTTTGTTTTTAGTAAATGTTTTATGGTACTTGCAACACAATTAGGTCATATAAGTGCCGAAGATTAGAGGTGTTACAGGAGAGTACCAAGCACACCAAAGAAAGAGGAGAGATAATATTAACGATAATAGACGTTTGATAGGAAAGAAGGAGCAAACCATACCTGAGCACCCTCCAATCACCCACTAAGATAAGATAAGATAAAATAATACATGATGTACTTTATTATCCCAGAGGGAAATTTTTCCCGGCTGTACAGGGCCTTACTAGATTATATCTATAGCTACTGTAAGAAAAGGTTGCAAGAAAAAGGAAAAAAAGTGACAACATAACACAATAAAAGAACCACCCAACAAACAACCATCTTTCAGTTGGTGAATTCACCGAAACAAGCGGGGACGCAGCAAATTGCACTTGTTCATTGTCCATGAGCAGAGAGCTTGTAAAAACTGACAAGAGACTGAGGTTGGAGTTTGACAGAAAACTGCGTCACGTGGAAGATAGGCTACTGAAAAGACTCGGAAAGGCGTCACTGAACCAAATAGGAGAACAAGGAGTAATAAGGTGAGCCGGTTTCGTTATGTTGCTATCGTTTCATCAATTTATAAAATATTTTAGTCGAGAGTCAGTTTTAATCATCATCATCATCACCATCATCATCATCATCATCATCATCATCATCATCATCATCATCATCGTCATCATCATCATCATCATCATCATCATCATCATCATCATCATCATCATCATCTAGCATCTAATCCCCGGGGCAGTGCTACTGGCTGAAGTGTCTTTAGGCCATTCCCAAAGGTGAGACATTAATCATGTTCTTATGCACAGTAGAATTGTAATTGTAAATGGGCTGATCCATCAATGTAATGCTCATAACTGTGCCTGAACTGTAATAGGGAACTACGGCTTTTTCTTTCCTAATCCTTACTATTGTCATCTTTCCTCTACTTCTTTTGTATGTTTGTCACACTCTTGTGACCCGCTATTTCCGGGGTGCCTTGATAGTCGAAGCAGACTTTGTGCTGTTGAAGCTAGAAAGGTGAACAGAGTAAGCCTTCTCTGTTGACATCCACCCCTTGGCGCTCATAATTCATATGACCTTATGCAGTTGCCAGCGCCGTAAAACCTATACTAAAACAAACGAAATCATTATCATCTTTCTATGCAGTACTGAATAATAGAAGAAACAAAAGTATGAAGACTTGGATCTTTTCTAATAATTGAAGAGCATGACATGGTAACATCTTAGAACTCACTGAAACCGCACCGCCTACAGAAATTGTTATCATTATAGCAGACTTGTGTATGTGGTATAGTGGTTAGGTGCTTAGCCGTGGTACATAGAAGACCTGAGAACAGTTACCATTTGTTTGTTTGTTTGTTTAAGAAAAAGAAGCACATCAACATAATAACGATCATTAAGCGTGGAGAAAAAGTAAGACGGAGAGACAGACAGAAACAACCGAGGGAAAGTAAAGAAGTAGGACTTACCGGTGGCGCTCTCCAACCACCTGCTCAATTATTCTCGTGAGAAGATCATGTTTATCGAGTATCTGTCTCTCTCCACTAATAAGTTGTAACCCTGTCGGTCAGGGTTGGGCCTGACAAAAAGGGTCGAACCCGCCTCCTAAATGTCGTGTTTGTTTGTTTGTTGTTGGGTTGTTGTTGGTTTGTTTGTTGTTGGGTTGTTGTTGTTTTTTTTTGGGGGGGGGGCGTATAATACTACTACTACTACTACTACTACTACTACTACTACTACTACTACTACTACTACTCCTACTACTACTATTCCTACTACTACTACAACTACTACTACTACTACTACTCCTACTCCTACTACTCCTACTACTACTACTCCTACTACTACTACTACTACTACTACTACTACTACTACTAATAATATAATAATAATAATAATAACAATAATAATAGATAACGTATTATGTATTGGGCAAATACACACTCAACAGCAAATTCTATGTACTTTACAAATTAGTATTATTATTACCCCAGCAGACCTGATGACATTCTGAAACAACCTTGGCTTCCTGGGAAGCGTAGTGTGCACGCTACCATGTTATAGGCGCTAAATCACTAACATACTGACAAGATATTTCGCTTCCTAGCTATGGCCGGGTACACATTCTTACTCGAGTGACGTAAGGAAGATTCGTGTAAGTGCCCATGTCGAAAACGAAACAAATCAACACAGGGCAGCCGGCAGCTTCCCCAACGCTGACAAACACTCCGACCGTATCTGGCAGGCAGAGTGTACATTTATATATTTTTTTTGTGTGTGGTTTTTTTTTTTTTCAAGATGGAAAAAATACATAATATAAAGTAGCAAGCTGACGCAAGCAAAACTTTAACATTAATTCTTCTCCAGTAACCTATATCATGCAGACTGTACAGATGTTGAAAAAAACCCCCAAAAACAAAAACACCACTACCCTTCCCAAAAACAAACAAAACGAACCCATCACAACACAACAAAACGAAAAATCATAAACTTTTGAAAATTCAAACGATAACTCAAAGTTAGATTGCCTCCTTTGTTTCGTTTTTATGTTCATTCTTATTAAGATATTGTGGGGGGAAAAATCCCTGACATGTTTACTTTTAAAAGTTTTTACTGTTATTTTCCCAAATATATAAATAAAGGCAACGTCGTGGAAGTTTGTTTTTCTTGTTTTTCTGATCGTCCAGGGACAATGGCGCAAGTACGGACTCACAAAGACAGCACCAGGCAAGCGTGGAGAGGAAAAGTAAAGTGCAGGTAACTGCTATCCCTCCCCCCCCCCCTCAACCTCTCTCTCTATCTCTCTATCTCTCTCTCTCTCTCTCGCTCTCTCGCTCTCTCTCTCTCTCTCTCTCTCTCTCTCTCTCTCTCTCTCTCTCTCTCTCTCTCTCTCTCTCTCTCTCTCTCTCTCTCTCCCCGGTATCTGTGGCTTAGCGGTAAAACGCTACTGTTACATACATGAGACGCAAGTTCGGTTCCACAGTTGGCCGAATTTTTATCGAGGACCTCGGACTTTCTGCTGGGATGTTATATCTCTTGTAGAAAGCTCGCCTCCTGAATATCTAAATAGTGTTGATAAGGGTGTAAAAGTCTAACTATTTATCTCTTGCTATTTTTTTCTGTCTTCTATCCTCCCATCTCTTTCTCCTTTTCTCTCTCTCTCTCTCTCTCTCTCTCTCTCTCTCTCTCTCTCTCTCTCTCTCTCTCTCTCTCTCTCTCTCTCTCTCTCCAACCCCCCTCCCTCTCTTTCTGTCTCTATTATTCTGTCTATCTATATATCCATTTTTCTCTCCATAAATATGTCTTTCTCGGTCTTTTTATCCAAGTGTCTTCCATCTTCCTCGTCGGCGTCGTCGTCTTCGCGGCAGACGCGCTCCTCAATACGAGAAAGAAAGCCGACGCTCTATCGAGAATAAATGATTTTAATCTTTTACTCAGAGACATGAGGGGGAAGAAACAGAGAAAGGAGGTGAGGAGAGGTTGAGTGGGACGCCCGCAGACAAAGACTACATGTAGAAGAGCGGTAGTACGATATGCGAGAGAGAGCGGAGAACAGACTGACACCACACGCACTGCGGAAGAAAGCGCGAGAAAAAAAAAGACATATAAGAGTCCTCTATAAGACGGGATAGAAACATTCTGAAGAAGGATCGAGCAGTAGTGAGTTAGGCAGGAGAAGGTATTGATCCGTAAGTAAAGGGTCAAGA